GCGTGCGTGTGTACGTGTGTGTGCGTGCGTGTGTGCGTGCGTGTGTGTGCGTCTGTGTGTGTGTACGTGTGTGTACGTGTGTGTGTACGTGTGTGTGTACGTGTGTGTGCGTGCCGTCCCTTGGCTGCAGCTGGTGATAAATCTGCTGTTGCTTTGTAGATTTTATACTGGCCCCATTACCGCCCATTACACTGGCCTGTGTCCCGCCTGTACAGGGAGGGAGCAGACACACAGAGCATAAACGTGGCCTGTTGTGGGGGAGCTACTGTTATGCTACAAGTGCATGCATCAAGCCGTCTCACACTCAAACGTGCAAGATAAACAAATGATTTAAATTTAGTCGGAAGTTGCAGTTATCGAGAGGCTGCATTGATTAGTGCCTTGATAAAATACTTCACTATTGTTCATAGCAAACCCATTTTAGAGGTAAGGTTATGATTTGTTTTCCGCAGTCAATTAATAATACTGTAAGAGTGGTGTTTTAAAGCAGGGTTATCTAACTTTCAGACCATAATATTTGTTACTCATTCATTCATTTTCAACCCCTTTATTAGTCCATTTCTGGGTCAGGGGGGTGACAATGAGAGCTGCACCCAACGCTCATAGCACCAGTCCCTCTGATCCTCTGCAGGGGGTGGGTCCACGGGAAGATGGCTGCTTCAGAGGTGCCACAGCCTTGGTGTTTCAGCGGGAGTTTCAGGCAAAGTGGGGTTAAGTGTCTTGCCCAAGGACACAACGACAGTAGACATTAGTGGGAGCAGTTGGAGTAGGTCCCATGGTGGACTCGAACCCACAACCTTCAGGCCCAACGGCCAATGCTCTACCAACTGAACTACTGTCGCCTAGCAACAAATCACTGGTCTGCTCATACATGTATTTTAGATCAGTTTTTTCAGACAGAAACGTGAAATTGAGAGGACCATCCGCACTTAGTGATTCAGCTCTCAGCCCAAAGCATCAAATAGTGACTCACAACTCTTTCTGTTGGTTGAAGATAACATATTTCATAAGATATTTGTTCAACATTTATTTTTACAAGACTCATTCTGTACCTCAGCTTTGAGTTGAGACAAAAATACTCAGGATACATAATAAATCCCCTTTTTGTCACACAGGGACACAGATAGAGTTGTAATGAAACCTCACATTGCTCCTTCATTTCCCCTTTAAGAACCATCTGTCAGCTTAGCCAAAGATTCTACAAGTCTTTCTGCTCCTCTTTCTTCTTCAAAGTCACCTTAAAAGAGCTAATCCCTGAAATGTGAAATGCTGATTATGTTGATCCGTGCGTCAGTGGTGTTGGTGTGAGACAGAGTGGCAGATACAGGGATGTCTGCTACAACCAAATATATAATTGTTTTTTGTTATCACCCCTTTAATAAAAAAAATCACATTACACAACGTATTATCACCTTACATATGTTTATGTGTGAGAATTGTAGGATTCATATTTCTTAAAACTTTTCAATTAGATCCAAAAGGTAGCTCTTTTTCAGACCCTTGCAATCACAAAATTAACATATATTTTCCTAGTATCAAATGGAAATCTGAAATGAGTGAATAAATGATAAGAGTCTGATCATATTCCACAGAACGAGAGCCCTTTCAGCCTCAGGAGAGAACAGCATGGGCTTGTCTTTAGGACCATTGTCGGCTTGTCTGACCCCAGCCAACAATGGTACAACTCCCACCGGCCCCTCTTTAACATCCTTAAGATTAAAAATGAACAGGGCAATACAGTCTTTGAAGGTTTTTTTAATAAGTCAAGAAAGTAAAGAAAGCTAGTACTGCTTAATTAGCTGACATGTTTCGGCGAGACGGTTGTTGCCGTGGACGGACCATCAACAGAGACAAGGGGGCTTTCACCTTGGCTCACACTTGGGATTCACTTCTCCAGAGACCACAGCGCGGCGGGGGGCGTGGTCAGTCTGAGGAACCTGTGAGATCTGTCAGACTGACCGCATCCGGCAACAACAGCTGATGAGAGACGCGTCACCGTCACGTGTCACCTCTGATGAAGGCCGAAGTGAACCGCTTAATGTTACGGAACTAAGCAGTACAAGCTTTCTTTACTTTCTTGTCTCGTTAAAAGAACATTCAAAGCCTTAAACATAAGAAGACAACATTCACTTTTTACATTTAGGGCAATACAGTGTTTTCCTTATATTTACATGTAGATCTGCATCGAAGGAGTGCATTACTGAAATGCGGCGGCACGGTGGCTGAGTGGATAGCGCTCTCGCCTCTCAGCAAGAAGGTCCTGGGTTCGAATCCCGGTCGGACCAGGGCCTTTCAGAGTGGAGTTTGCATGTTCTCCCCGTGTCTGCGTAGGTTTCCTCCGGGTACTCCGGTTTCCCCTGCCACTAAAAATATGTCCAATAGTTCTGGCATGTGCCTCCTGTACTGGCCCCTCCCATCTCTGTGTGGAGTGAGAGACAAATGCCCAAAAATTAACAATTGTAAACCGCTTTGAGACTCAGATCTGCAGTGAAAAGGCGGTATATAAATAAAGATTACTTACTACTTACTTACTACACATGTTACTCTTGAGTGGGATATTCTATACAATTTTGTAAGAATTGAAAATGTTGACGTTAATGGTTTAGTATTTGGTATTTTTCTGCTAATTGTAAAGGTGCTCTTGTCCAGTACTCCTTCAATAACAAGATTAGATCGGAAGAGCTTTATCTGGGCAGCATTACACTTATATAGTGTAGAGCCTGCCGGAAATAAATGAAGAAGAAGAAAGAAGAGCTTTATCTCAGGTGCTCTGATCGAAAAAAAAAAAGTCAATTTGGCGAAACTGGTTCGAACAAGTGAACCAGATACTACTGATACAGGGCCAGCAGATGCATTTAAGAGCACAGGGAAAGCCATGCACATATTAGAGATGTATGTATTTGGACACAGCTGGCCACTCCCTCATTTTGATAATTTTGCATGTGTTTCATTGTTTTGGTTTTGTTTAGTTATGTTTGGTTTTGTTTAGAAATGAAATGAAATGACTCGCTTCAGTTCTGCTGCAGCTGAGACTGTGTGAAAATGTGGCGTGATCACCAGTTTGACAAACGTATACTGGTCCTGGCTCTATAACTATTTGCTTCCATCATTCGCTTTGGCCTCTGTTAGTTAAACCTTTTCAGATCAAAAACTGAAGAAGACTAGCCTGGTCTTATCCATCCGTACTCTCTGCTCAGTCATCATTTCACTGCATGTAACGTCTGGGTCTGGTCCCTGTGTTAGCGATTACAATCGGTTGAATTTTGACCGACCAATCAGAGAGCGCGAAAGGAGAGTGTTGTAGTTAGATGTGAGTGACGTCAAGAGTTTGCGTCGAACGGGAAGGTTGTAGTTTGGCAATGGTGAAGAATGCAATAGTAAAGTAATCCGGTCTGATTCTATCAAGAAATTAAAGCCGGAGCAAGAGGAATGTTTAGCAAATGTAATCGCTGGAAAATAATTGTGGCGCTACTCCCCACGGGCTCTGTTAGCGGCAAAGGAGATGGCTAAAGCTAGGCTAAATGCTAAATGCTAACAACAGACTCGGGCTCATTACAAACGTCACGGTAAACTCAGATCCAATCGTTTCAATCTGCAAAAGGAGTTAACCCCTCCCACCTGTTCACGAAGTCAATGCAACACCTCCAGACCTTAGTACGACATGTAATTCGTACTATGGTGTGGTGCGACCAGGCTAAGAATAATATATTATTTCCAAATGTGTGTGTTTAGTGAGGTTGCTTGGTTTCCTCTCGTAGCAGTGGTGTCTGATGATGGTGGACAGCTTGGACCAAATGTACAGTGTGACTCATCCAAAAGGAGGCGCCATGGTTCAGGGAACACAGCTGTTTTTTACGTAATTACTGTAATTACTGGGCTTTGCTTTTTTCCAATTACTTTACACGTTTAGGTTAAAAAAATGTAATGTAAAGTCAGCATGTCATGTGTCGTGAGCACGAAGAAGAGTCTCAAACCAATACTCTGCAGTAGGGCTGGGAACATGACATAGATTATTCAAAGAAAAACTGAATATATATAAAAAAAATATTATCCTGGCATTGGCTTTGATGCTAACGGAGGTAAGCTAGCAGTTTTTTTTTTTTTTTACACTACACCAAGCATTTATGGTTCAAAAATAAATATCTGCATATATTAGAATTTTGATATTAATAAAACAATGACATTTCAATAAGGTTTTTGTCTCAGCCTTATGTAGCCCTAAGGTATCGGTGATGTTACACAGTTGCTAATGTTGTAAGATGTTTTTAGAATGTACTCCTGGAAAATTAGAACAAAATCTAATTGTAAACACAAAAAATATGCAAGACTGTGAAAGGTTGAACTGCTCCCGTCTCCATCGTCCCCTCACTGTGAGCGAGGCCTTATAAGCTGTAGGCAAAATCAGGAAAATACATGTTTTGTGATCAAATACAACATAATTAGTCGGGGGAAAGTAAAGAGGAAAAGGTCAGAGGCACTTTGACTTAACTTAATAATCCTTTTATTGTGGAAGGAGCACAGTGACATGCTTTGACCACTCTCTGGTCGTCATCAAGGCAAGTGGATTCGTTAGTGTTCAGACAATGTTTTGCTAAATTGGGGGCAGCACGGTGGCTGAGTGGATAGCACTCTCGCCTCTCAGCAAGAAGGTCCTGGGTTCGAATCCCGGTCGGACCAGGGCCTTTCTGAGTGGAGTTTGCATGTTCTCCCCGTGTCTGCGTAGGTTTCCTCCGGGTACTCTGGTTTCCCCTACCACGAAAAATATGTCCAATAGTTCTGGCATATGCCTCCTGTACTGGCCCCGCTCCCATCTCTGTGTGGAAAAAAATAAAAAAATAAATAACAATTGTAAACCGCTTTGAGACTCAGATCTGCAGTGAAAAGGCGGTATATAAATAAAGATTACTTACTTACTTACTAAATTGTCATAAAAATCAAAACAAAAAGCGCATCCCAGTGCTCCACAGTACTCCCCTAAATATGGGCCAAAGCCTGGCTGCATGTCGCTCCACAGCCTGTCCCCTCTCCTGGTGAAGTGTGAAGACTGCAGCTCCATATGGGCCCCACACCTGCACCACGCACCAGCCGGGGGCCTCGCAAAGAGCAGTCATCTCACCAGCTCAGAGGGCCAACGGTGATCCATATAGTCATGTTTTATGTCAGGCTTAACTCATTGACTGCCAGTGACGTATTTGTCTGAGACTGGTGATTTCTGTCACACTTCCCTCTATTCGACGGAGGATTACAGGAGAACAAAACTAGCAAGACACAAACTTATTTTTGCTGCTGAAAGTAGACAATTCAGTCTTTCAAAATCTGGTTTCATTGTTTACATAGTCATAGCACATAATATTCTGTGGGTCTTTAAAATCAGTGAAATCATCAAAAACGGCAGCAGTCAATGAGTTAAGTATTGTCCGTATCATAGTTGACATACAAACAGGTCTTCCTTCGATTTGAAAAATATGTGACTCTGAATTGACCAATTGTTGTCGACTAATTTAGTATTCAATTAATCTCACTGCGCCCGCACGTCACTGCACGGCAACAGCATTTGGTTAACCACTCTGCCAATCCTCACCCAGCAGCTTTTCAGCTCTCCCTGCATCTTATGCTTTCATTCAAGCTGAAGCGTTCAACCATGCAGAAACCCTCCTCCTCCCCATCACTGCTTCGTGGGCCAGACATCAGCCTTTCTCTAGCTACCACCACCAGGGTCCAGGTGCTTAAATATGTGATATTTTGGAACACTTCTCTTTGCTTTCTCAATGTGACTCTCTCAAATTTCTCAAGAGAAGTTGTGAGCGAAAACCCATTTGTTTGGATAACTATCTGGTTGCAATATTTGAGTCTTGGACATCTGATTTAGCACCTGATCGACTATAGCAAGAGCGGAATCTTATACAAACTTAAAATAACAATACAATTATTAAAAATGAATACAAGATTAGAGCGGGACGGAATAAATGATTGAAGCAGATTGTGAATCCATGTACTAAACAGCTCATACAAGTCGCTGTCTCTTCTTATCTGCCAACTTCAAACAGTCCACAAATAGATCAATAGCCTGGTAGAAAACCATTGCGCGGAGCATTCATCACCACCGGCAGATGATCCGCACAACCCAATATACAGCGCAGCAAAGGCCCATTATATGCCATTATTGAGGGAAAATTAGATGAGGAAAACATTGTAACTCGATAGACGCCGAGCGACGGAGGAGAAGGAGCTCTGTGGAGAAAAAGGCTGTGGCCGAGACAGGAGCGAGGGAGACGTAATGACTGGAGAGATGGTGAAGGAGATACACAGGAAGCATGGCTCTTTTGTTGGAGGGGTCGCCGTAGCAACCAGGATGGCTGTGTGCATCGGGCTTGCACATGGGCACAAGTTTTAACCAAGATTTTTCCTCTACAAAACTAAACCTGGAGTGGTTTTCTGATCCTTGTCTTGTTTCTGTAAAAGTGAGATATAATTGTAGCACTATGACATCATACTATACTGGTTTTTTTTGATATTTTTACAGGTGAAATAATGTTCTTTAAAATCACACGGCTTTTTTTTGCTGCTGGTAATTTTGATCAAACTAAAATTTCAACTTTGTGTTGGTGGTAGTTACAGTAATAGGGATGTTGGGTCTCGTCAGGTGGGGGGAATTCAGATTCAGAAAACTTTATTGATCCCTAAACAAACACTACACACACACACATACTAGGCAAGGCAAGGCAAGTTTATTTATATAGCACAATTCATACACAAGGCAACTCAAAGTGCTGAACAAAACAAGAAAGCATTAAAATCATAAATAATCACAGAACATTAAAAAGAAAGATAAAAATATAAAATCCCTCAGTTGTAGCACAGCTAAACAGAACTGTCTTTAACCTGGTTTTAAACATTGTCAGAGAGGAGGCCTGTCTCACATCTTCAGGAAGACTCCAGATTTTAGTAGCATGAATCTGAAAAGCAGCCTCCCCATGTTTAGTTCTGACTCTGGGCACTAACAGGAGTCCAGTCCCTGTGCTCCTCAGAGTCCCAGCAGGAGTCCAGTCCCTGTGCTCCTCAGAGTCCCAGCAGGAGTCCAGTCCCTGTGCTCCTCAGAGTCCCAGCAGGAGTCCAGTCCCTGTGCTCCTCAGAGTCCCAGCAGGAGTCCAGTCCCTGTGCTCCTCAGAGTCCCAGCAGGAGTCCAGTCCCTGTGCTCCTCAGAGTCCCAGCAGGAGTCCAGTCCCTGTGCTCCTCAGAGTCCCAGCAGGAGTCCAGTCCCTGTGCTCCTCAGAGTCCCAGCAGGAGTCCAGTCCCTGTGCTCCTCAGGGTCCCAGCAGGAGTCCAGTCCCTGTGCTCCTCAGGGTCCCAGCAGGAGTCCAGTCCCTGTGCTCCTCAGGGTCCCAGCAGGAGTCCAGTCCCTGTGCTCCTCAGAGTCCCAGCAGGAGTCCAGTCCCTGTGCTCCTCAGAGTCCCAGCAGGAGTCCAGTCCCTGTGCTCCTCAGAGTCCCAGCAGGAGTCCAGTCCCTGTGCTCCTCAGAGTCCCAGCAGGAGTCCAGTCCCTGTGCTCCTCAGAGTCCCAGCAGGAGTCCAGTCCCTGTGTTCCTCAGAGTCCCAGCAGGAGTCCAGTCCCTGTGCTCCTCAGAGTCCCAGCAGGAGTCCAGTCCCTGTGCTCCTCAGAGTCCCAGCAGGAGTCCAGTCCCTGTGCTCCTCAGAGTCCGGGCTGGTTCATATGGGACTAACATGTCACTAATATATTTTGGTGCGAGGCCATGGAGAGACTTGTAACAAGCAGAGCTGTTTTAAAGTCTATTCTCTGAGCCACAGGAAGCCAGTGCAGAGACCTGAGGACCGGACTAATGTGGTCGTACTTCCTGGTTCTAGTCAGGACTAATGTGGCCGTACTTCCTGGTTCTAGTCAGGACTCTACACAAACACACACACATACTCTACACAAACACACAGTGAGTCTCACAGTTCACACAGCAGCAAGTTACACAAAATAAGTTAAAAAACAACAATGAACAACACAATTCCCAAAAAGTCACACACCTCGACCAGAGTTCAACAGTTTTATGGCCGAGGGCACAAAATAATTGGAGAAACAGTTTGTTTTTGGTGCTGGAGCATAAAAACGACGCCCTGAAGGCATCAAAACAAAGTCAGCGATCAGAGGATGTTTGGGCTGAGCCAGAATACACTTCGCTTTATTCAGAGATCTTCAAAGACTGAAGATCTCTGAGTTTGGAGCAAGGACCGTTTTTTGGGACTCTAGGCCGTAACACTTCTCCTTCAGCAAATGTTTCTGGCGGTAGTTTTAAAAAGCAGAAAGTTTCGCACAAATCCGACTCTTTCACTGATTTATTTACTGATGAGCAATGTTTTGGCCTTCGTCAAGACGCCAAGGTCCATATTCTGTCTTTGAGTTGTAGAATTTCTCCATGAGCTCCTGCTTGTAAGACATCCAGGTCGAAACAAAATGCCCTGTATTAAACCAAATCAATCTATCAAATAAATAGTTGTATTTATTTATTTTGCACACCGGCCTCATCAATCTTAAAACAGTAATTGCTCTGTACCGGCTGTTTTTCTGAGCTGGCTTGTTTAATCTCTCATGATAGAAAGTGTACGCTGCCTGGATTATGGTCAGCCCGACTCCTGACAGAAGCCCTTCAGCACAGAAATGTCAGTGCTTCTCTCCCACTGGGTTATCAAAGAAATGGGAAAAGGGAAAAGGATGTTGTTATTATGAGACGGTGCTCGAGACGTTTCACATTCGGGGGATTTTGTCGCCTGACCTGATGATGTTTGAATGGTTCATTTTAAAGCTGGTGAAAGCAAACAAAATAGATTTATTGTTCCCACAGTGGGGAAATGTGGGTATTTGGCCATCCATCCATCCATCGATTTTCTTCC